AAAATATCGAGATTTTCGGGATTAGACATGAAAACAGAATCAGTCAAGTCTGACATGTTGGGCATTTACAGTTTGAGTATTCAAATTCGAATCTTAAAAACTGAATAAAAACTACTGCCAATGCCGTTGCTTACCTCAGAATTACCAATCGATTGTTGTTTAGCAGCCATCGTCGGAATACTTGTGTTCAATTTTTCACAAAAAATACCAAAGTATTGTCAAGTGTTCACGAAAGTTATATTGCGTCCGTCTAAACATATGATGTCATATGTATGTCTCCTCTATAATACTATCCGGTGTAGTATATGTTTGAATGTAAGATTTGCGAAGATGTGAAATCAGTATGTATGGCGATTTATTGTTGAAAGATATTACTAATGTTTCGATCAAAAGAATGAAGTGAACATTTTACTAATATCTTTTTATTTTCAAATATCAAATTTAAGAACTGAAACTTGTACTTCAGTCATAGTTCTCATGAAAAGATCAATCGGTTAGTCTTCTTTAGAAAGAAATGGAACTACAAAATAGAAATTTCTCAATTTGATTGTGAATTCCACGAAGTGCATTTCTATTCGATAATATTCGACTTCAAAGAGCTATCATATAAGTTATTTATCAAGAGCAACAGTATTCAATAATCCCCAATGCTTGTCTCACGTGTACAGTAGTAGTCTACAATAATCGTCTACCATAATATTTCAAGATGTATCGTTATGGACGATCGTTGCATGTGCATCTCAAAATCGATAACATTATGTTTTTTTGTACTAACTGATAAACTCAGCTCACTACTAGTCTTTTTCTTTTGGTTCTGGCCTTGTCACTACATAGGGGTATGGTTAGTACCATTCATTGATGATTTAGTTCGCACATTTTCATAGGACGGGATATGTTCTTTAATGGAGACAGTAGTGATTCTTGTACTGATGCATCAAACTCCGCTTCTATGTTATTTACCTTCGTTCGCGTTGTATCTTGCGTTAATAGATGAAATTTGCCACGCATTTGTCATTTACCATCATGTATATATGCCTTTATCGATGGGTGAAATATGCTCGTTTATCGAGTTTTTTTTGCGTTCGCTTCAGAATTACGAAGCGCATACAAGATTCATGTGAGTGATAGTCGCAGAAAATTAAAGGACACTATGAAGTAAATATCATTTTTTATGATGTAGCCTATTCTACGTGACAGTGTTATGGTTCTATGATGACTTTTATTACATTGCAGTCGAAATACACAATTACGATGCAGTTATGATTAGGGAAGAAACGTATTCATCTCTCCTTGTTGGGAGAAACAATAAATATTTTATCACCTAAATGAATTTCAACGATTGTAAAACGTTTCTTCAGGCTAGAGCAGAGAACCAGAAGATATCTATAACACTTACTGTTCTTCTTCCACGATATACTTGTGACACATTTTTACTTCATTGGAGCAGAAATATGCACAAATACAACACAGTTTTTCTTATTGCTGCTAGGTTACGTACAGTACGATGATTAAGGTTGTAATTGTGTCTCAAAGTGCGTTTACAGTTCAGCTGTAATTACGGCACTATTCAGACATAATCGATCTAGCACTCGAGATTGGTGCATCAGAGTTTAATAAAGATAAAAATAGCTTTTATCAGTAACGATGAAATCGTGTAGGATTTCTTGATTAATCAGCTTGCATAGACTAACATCAGTCTCCATCTCTTCACTTCATATTTCACACAGACGACAGACATTTCATTATATGATAGAGACATCTTTTCGTCTCTATTTAAATAACTTACTCAAGATGACCAGCGATGTGAATCGAGAGCAAATATCCATGATCATAATAATGTATTCAATATGTCAGACGTTTTTTAGTGCAAGACAAAATGAGAAACGAGAAAGAACCGCAATTGTTTTTTTTTCTTTTGAAACCATCCAAGAGAACACCAGTTTTTTTGTCTTCACCGCCGATACTTACTATCGACGATGAGGACAAAAAATTTCATTACATTGGTTTGATTAAAGTTTTATAAAGCAAACTCATTCTTCCAATAGTAAGACTAATCAGCATTATTAGTTTCACTTGAAATGGCTTCTTCTGTGATGATTCGTAATGAACAGATGCATACATATAAGAAAGAAATGTAACCTGTCAGACGACTACTTCGTTTTTTCTTCTTTTAGATATATTTTAATGTAATATAGGCATGAATATATTATCACTGAGAGAAATTCTTATAAAATTCTGTTTCTGTTTTGTATTGTCAACCTTGAGAACCAATCATAAAAGATCAATTTTGCTCTGTGTTCTATAATCAATAGTTAGAATATGATTATTGAGTTTGTTTGTATCAGATAAGATAAAAACAATTTTCTTTATTTTTTGAGAAATATTCTTGCTACTTAGACCTATTTGTAATAATTGAAACTAGTTTGACAGGCGGTAAATCAGGTCTAGAATACAATTTTCGAAAAAGTAGTACAATTGTTTTTCTATAACTAACGTAAATAACTTTGACAAAGAAATTTTATGATAATTAACGATGGGAATAGACATGTGTGATATTTTTCTAGATGTTATATTAACGAAGAAAAAAGCTTGTTAGGCAGCCCTTTTGGGACTGAAATGTGGAACTCACATTTGCTCTCTAGCCTCATTAATCTAATAAAAAAAAAGGAAAATGAAAAATCTCTCATAAAGTATAATCGTTTTGCAGAACAATCAATGACTGAAGTAAAAACTTCTCTAATTTCTGCACTTTGAACAAAATTTTTTTACTTTTTTTTCTAAGGAGACCGCATATTTTTTATTTTCATTGTTGCTATTCGTTCATTATTTTTCATTTTTTTAAATTCGTTTTTCTTAATTTATCATTCTTATTATTATAATCATTGAATTGATTGACAAATAAGTGTATTTCACAGATCTATGATATCTACAGCAGATCTTACACACAATCATATATATTCATCAAGTCACAAATAATGATATTCATTATTTTTCAAAATTATAACTTGATCAATTTTTCAAAGAAAATATAGAAAATCTAACACCTTTTATTGTCGATTCCTAAGTGTCTGTAATGGGAAGAGGGGAGTGGCGAAAACTTGATCTTAAAAACTTATACTCAATATTTTCTTCGAAAATATATGTGAGCTCCGCAAAAGAGGTAGCTTCTGACTACTCATTTAAGAGATTCGAATTTTGATTTGCCTATAAGCAAAAAACTGCTTGAATGAACGTTTGCTTTATAACTTTTAGAAATCATGCCATACACGAAACTCTCTAGCATTTATCAAGAGATTCGGGTAAGATTTTGACATCGTTCAGTCCGCACAATCTTTTGTCTTTAGATATCATGTGCTTCTGAGCTCGAATTTCGTTCAAAACCGAAGGCGTTTGGACACTCCAACAAGGCGAATGTCATTAGAGTTCGACGATATTATTCTTTGACATTAGTATACTCATAGAATATCTCTCTAGAATGAAACAGGGTGTGGGTGTGGGTGAGTGTTGGTGAAGAGAAGACGAACAACAACACCGACACCTACAGCCACACTCACACCCACACCCTTGTTGTGTTAATTATTTTTCAGAGCGAAAACTATATATCAATGACATTATTTTTCATGTCGATATACAATGAAAAATAATGATAATATTACCAATAATTTTCCAAGTGGATTATTCAAATGTGTTCGTAAAATATCATTATTTGACAAACGTCCTTTTCAACATGATTTTTTTATTAAAATATCTCAAACAATTCCATTTCTTGAAAAATTATGTCTTGAGAATTTTCAACCACAAAATAAAAAATCAGACGACGATAATTAACATTTGCGTATCATTGAATACCCTGATATCTGACAGAATTATATTTTAATCGTAAGACTATGAATTCATATTTTCTCAACAAGACTATACACTGCCAGTTCTTTTTTTTGTATCTGAACAGCTTCTTTGAAAGAAATGCAGAAAAAAACTTTGATGAATATACAAATATTCTAAAAGTAATCAACCACGTTTAGATGATGTTTTGTCATAGCTAGGGTATGTGTGGGAGCGTTCCTATTTTTTACAGAAGTCTCTAGACTCACTTTCGCCTCATTTAAAATGATGGATTATCAGAAAACTACGGATAATCACATTGCAATCTTTCAAGTTATCATCTGAAAGCTAAATATTTTCTTATTACTCATTAGTAGATTAAAATATCTACACAATATTGTAAACTACAGCTATCAAGTTTAGGGATTGTCCAGAAATTCTTGCAAAAATGAGTCCAATCATTAGATTTTTGTGCAGATGATAATTTATTCATGAACTCTACAATGTCGACAATTCATAAACGATGTTCATAATTCATAGATAAAATGAAACCAACGAAGATCTCTAACTGCTAAGAAAATTATCAATCAACATTCATATCTTATAATGATGCTGTAACTATATTTTTTCTAGCTTAAACAAAATAGATATAATTTCAATAGAACATAATTCTCAAAAAAAAATCATTATATCAAGATAATTCAATTCCACTTAAACTAATTCGAATTGATAAATAAATTTAATTGAATTGACTGAATAAAATGAAAATAGTTTTTATTCTAAAATATGTTAGTATTAATGAATTACCTATTTTTTAATCTAATATTATCTAATTATAATTGAACTTTTTCTATGATATGTCTTTTATCAGATAAATTTAAATGATTACGATTTACTTNACAAAAAATACAATTTATAATAATAACGAGGACATTCTCGATTGGCTGAAACCTAACGATATATTGGTCGTAGATCGTGGTTTCCGTGACGCACTTGATGATTTACATACATTTGGTTATAAAACAAAAATGCCATGCTTCCTTAGTAAAAAGACGAATCAATTCACTACGGAAGAAGCTAACCAAACACGTTTTGTAATAAAAATCAGGTGGGTGGTGGAGTCTGCCAATGGGAGAATCAAACAGTGGCGTTTTTTCGACAAAGTTGTAACGAATACTATGTTAAAAAATATAGGAGACTATTTTGCGATAGTCTGTGCGTTGATTAACGCCTATCGACCATTATTCATAGCCGACATTTCTAAAGACAATGCTATAGCTGATCGAATGTTGGGATTGGCAACTCAATCAAATAATATAAAAACATATATTGATAAATTGAAAAATAAATCCGATAAATCCCTAAAGTGGACTCTATTAAATGCGAATCATTTGGTTAAAGATTTTCCACGTATGACATTCAACGAATTAAATGACTTGACCTTAGGCACCTTCCAGCTAAAACAGGCTAAAAAGTATGCTGTGGAACATTTATCTAATGATGGCTCATTTAATATAAAAGTAGCTAAACAACGGGATGATTTAATAAGAGCTCAAATACAATCTCGACATAAAAATGCCATACTATACGATATCTGGGTACAGTACGATCAAAAAGAAATTCTTGGTTGGTACTGCCGATGTCCGAATGGTTGTCGTGTAATAGGCTGTTGCTCTCATATTGCTTCTGTGATTTGGTATTTATCGTTTGCTCGATATCATCCAGAAGCTTTGAGAGAATCAGCTTCTTCATATCTAAACTCACTAACTGATGCACAAAACTATTCAGATGTTTCTGATGACGACGGAAATGAAAGTGATGATGATAATTCTCAAACCTTATACACTCTTGCTTAAACTGAAAGATGATTATTTAAATATTAAGATGACTGTTAAGCAACAAGAAACGAATTTATGCGAACATAAGTAACTCATTAAACTACGGATACTTAATTCAATAAACGGATGCATTTTATCTCTTGACTCATTTTTTTAAAATTAACTTGACTGATATACTCATTATAGTTTCGATTTAACTGTTTTGTTTTATGCTCAATAGATAAATGATTACTTATCGAAAAGGGAATTAAATTGGTATGAAAACTACAAAAGAATACTGAAAAACAAACAAAAAAATAAAAATGAATAAAAAAACAAAAAAATTAAAAAAATACCTCAGTCGATGACAGGTTGGGCTCTTCGTGCCGACTGAGATACACATTGCTCATAGCAATGGCTAACGGACCTGTTTATCCTTCTAAACGCATATCATGACATAATGTGCTGTGTTATTTTCGCTATGAAATACTTAGTGCCACTGGTTGAACCTTGAATAATATCAATATAAATATAATTACATGCCATTTCTGACAGTATCTCGCGAATTTGGTGGCATAGTACATCTTTTTTTTTAATTTAAAGTTGCTACTCGAATAGAGCATGAAAAACTACATCGGACTGCATATATGGCTGTTTGACACCCGGCTGTTTTATGGTACTAAAACTTCATACAAAAGGATAAATCACGAGTTTTTATAAGAATTTTACAAATTTTATCGGATATTTTGGTTATTTATCGATTGTTTTCGAACTAAATCAACTTGAAACGAATAGAGCAAATATTTTTATTCATTTTGACATGTTTTGATATATCTTGAACAAAAAAAAATCCGATATTTTCATAGAAATATCGGCCAATATTATAGGAGCATGGTCCTATAGGGCATATAATAATAAAATGGGCTTATCACACAAAAAATTCAATGCAATCGAAATATAAATATGATATTCGTAATCAGCGCATAAAACTGCATATAAATGATGTACTTTCGAGAATTTTCGGTGAAAAAAATTTTTTTCGATCCCTGGGGGGACCACAGGGGGGTAAAAAGGTGATCCCGAGATGGTGCGAAACTAAGTGGTAGAAAACACTTCTAGTGACCTCCTGGCACCTTTTAGAAGGTTAGAAACTAAAAATAATTTGGGCCAGGAAATAGTCATCCCAGCCCACATCCTTTACCATCTTGATGCTATTATTTAATTATATTCTAAATTATTATTGCACTTGGATGTAACTCTGAATTCGAATTCGTTAAAAACAAACTTTTAACGCGTTTTTACGGTCAAAAATGTAACATCTTGTTACGTTAAAATCGTTAAATTTTTATCGATTTTACATGAGTCTGGAGACATTTTATAAATGCTTTATTGCATTAGTTGGCATGAGTTGCTACTGTAATGGTGTTGGATTGCCGAGGATACATTCTTGTTTTTATATACGCTCTTGTAAACTGATGGGTGTGATTGTTCATGTTGCTAGGGGTAATGATGTGTGCGTGGGCGTGGATAAGCATTAAGAGACGACCCATATCCACAAGCCTTATAGACATGATCTGTTGCATCTGAAAGTGCTATAAATGCCTAGAAAATGATTTCTGTTATATCACATTCTCACTATTTCAAGCGGTATATTCTCTGTGTGAAATTCAACTTGGTGAACTACACAGATAGGGTCATTCTTTTTAGTGAAAAGTCCTACGCATTCAAGAAAAATGTGAACCTAAAGACAGATTGATTTCCTATTAGGTCTAGAAAAACATCTTTCGAGTGCACAGAAACCTTGTATTAGACTGAAGTCGATATTTAGACATTTGTTTTATTCATGTTAATAATGTTCAGACAATGTATGGCACACTGGTATGTATGCCCTCCTTCGAATTTCTAGTGCAGTCGTTCGAAGCTCATTTCTATAATTAAATGTTTGAAACTCGTCCGTTGGTTAAGACAGGCTAAGACCATCGTAAGAGGACACCGATGGCTACTTAGTTCGAATATGAGACGAATTGAAATATATTTTTCAATTTTCGAATATTAAATTCGAAATGTGTCTAGACACAAAAAAAATATTGCACTGGAGATGCGCTTCTATTTAAATCAGATTTGGAATAACTCAAATTCTGTCTATGTAAATTGCAAAATAGTGAGCTTTGCATATGGAAATCATCATGCCACTCTAGCAAAAGTAGCCCAGATTCGTTCAGCAACATGTTCCAAGTGCATCTCGACGAGTTCTAATCGATAGTTAAATCAGATTTTCGAGAACTCAACACGTATCGCTGCAAATTCCAAAATACCAATATTTTTTCCTCAGATTACGAAAGTAATTCATACCCATGTATCTTTCGAAAGGATATAATCGAAGATTATTAGTTTGTTATAAATAGGAATATCTCTTACAGAGATATATATCATGTGTTTTCTTTTATATGAATTGGATTGAAACGAAACCGACTTCATCAAGTTTGATGCATGAGAAAGTACAATTCAACGCGAAGTAGTGATTTATCTAAAAGTTTCCTTTGGTGCTATGAATTTAGATCACGAACGTTTTTTATTGACAAAAGTTTGTCAAGTTGTTTTTTTACTGTTTTGCATAAACAATATGATTCTGTTTCATTTTATGATTTTGACGAAGGTGAAACATTCTTGTCATCAAGGTAACAATTGATGATCATGTCATCTTCCAATAATCTTATTTTCTACATATGGTGTGATCATCGTTCTTTATACTATTGCTCAACATATGGCGTGACCGTCGTTCTTTGTACTATCGTTCAACGTATGTCATGGTCCTATCCACATATAAATAGACACACTTCTTCATGTTTTTTTTTGAATAATAAAAACTGAGTAACCAGAGCTAACAATTCTTTGCATCATATGAATCATTGGAGCAGACCACACAAATGTTTGTTTGCAGAGCATACTTTCTTTCAATTCTTTTTCATGGATAAGACGATGTCTTGCGCAAGACATACTCAAGTGTTTCCTTTCATTTGCGCAGAAAGATTCTGACAAACAATGAATGAATGGCGCAGTTTGTTCATTGTCGCCAGTTAGTTTTTTTTTAAATTGCAAAAAAATCAGAACACAATTAACACTCAGATGAAGTGAAGTTGAATCAGCATATTCGATGGTAATGATGTGAGAGTGTTGTAGATGTGGGTGTGAATGTGAGTATGGGTGCGGACGTTGAGTTTGGAAGTGACTATATCTGGGTATTGGTCCTCTCTTTAGTCTTCCCACATTTCACATGGACATGTCGATACAAATAATATTCTGTGTATGGCATGACTAAAGCAACAACAACAGCAACACACATATGTATTAACTAATGATACATGAAACCATTTGTTGAATATTTCATAAAATCAAAGCCGAGCATCGTATAAATAAATCTTTCTCAGATTGAGAAATGGAGAATATCAAATTGAATACTGACTTCTTAGTTTATTCTTCATGTAATTGATGATGTGTCGCCCGACAAGACTAAAATTTGCGTGTGGGTGAGAAGAAGATCTAGATCCAGACCCACACCCATACCGCCTGCTCACACATACTCACGGTAATTCCGTCATGACTTGTGGCAGCATATGTTTCAGTCTCGTATTATATTTACATGTATTCTCTTTATGTTGTATACGAGCAACAAGATCACAATATTGGCATTTTTACTCATGTCTTTTTTCTCGACTTTATCGATTTTTCTCTCCTCCAAAACGTGTATTTATGTTTTTTCTCTGTGTTTTCATCTTGAAAGTCACAGCGAAAGAGAGAGAGGGAGAGAGAAAATTTGAGAGAGGTCTCGCATGTATTTAAGAAGAACAGGCAAAAGTTTTGTATGAAATAGTGGTGAAAAACGATTGATGTTGTGCATCGTTACTTTAACGAATTTATTTTGTCGTTGCATTCGTCATACCGCACTTTTATCAGCTCTCTGTGTCAACAGAAAATTGAAAAACTAGAATAAAGGTTCGTGACACACTGTCAATAAACAAACCGTCATAAAAGGAAAAGCTTTCAACAGTCATTCATTTTAACGACGTATGCTCTTTGAACGCAACCAACATTTATGCATCACAAAATTCTAAAATCTTTTCTCGAATTACCTCTCGACCTTGTCTATCGTGTCCTGGACAATCTCGATGAATTATCACTGTTCTGTTCAATTCGTAATGTGTGTACACAACTGAACATGATCACTGACACATATCATCGACATCAGGTAATTTTTATCTTTATCATCAAGTCAAATTTTTAGTCTGTTCAAGATATCACTCAATTTAACCAATCCTTATTTTAATGATTTTAGTTGTTGATTTTAGAATAGTAAAAATTCAATGATAATATATTTGAGTTTATGAATATTACCGAAAATAAAAGAATTATTACGTTATTTGAGCTATTTTCAAAGATTTTATTAGGTTTATTATTTTTTTTTGCAATATTTTATCAAGCAGAAAACAAAGTTAACTGAATTAAAAAACTCATCAAACGTTTTCGTATCGTAGTTTTGTTTTCTGCACCAGTTATAGAAAAGACATCTCCAAATGAATTCAATTCAAAGTCAAGGAAGAAACCTATGCTAAATTTTATGAACTGTACCCTTCTGAAATTTCGGAAACCTAAACTTTAATTAAAGTAACCAACGATATCAAAATAAACGAAACATACTTTTCAGAAGTCCCGGAGCCTAAGAAATTGTAAGAACTGTCAGAAATCAAGAAACTCTAAGAATAAATAGAAACGATAATAATTAAACTCCATGTAAAACATTTTTCTATTATAAGATATTGCTACGAGGCTTACGTTACAGTAGCTTAAATTGATATAAGCCGCTTATAAACACTTAGAGCTGCATATAGTAAGCTTCTGAAAGCTGCTTTATGGATTAAAGCACCTAATTCAGCATAGAAAATGGACTTATAAGCACAGCAGAGCATTTATTTCATAAATCGCTTAAAAGTGCTGGCAAATTTCTTATATATAAGCGTTACAATTAGAGATCTGCAAACTCA